CACTTCAATTATCATAACATTTGGTTTGTTTTGATGGACACACGTATGGCACGCATGCGCTCACAGACACCACAACACACGTGTCTCTCACGTGCTTTCGTTGCGCTTTGTTTTGTGTTTTGTTTCAATTAATTGTCATTCAATTGTGATATAAATTGTGAGTATTTTATGCTTAAATTACATTCAAAGTGTTGATCAGTAGTGAAGTGATTGACAGCAAAGGTATCACTCATTGAAACATACATTCAATCAATGAATCACTCATTCATTGCTTTTCACACAAAATAGCTTTCATTTGTCCACTAATTATGTCTCGAAACACGCGAAGAGTTTGTCTCACGAGTGACACAACTGGAAGACAATCGATGGACAGATTGGGCGATGATTTGTGTCGACTATTGCTGTCATATCTGAAAACCAAAGACCGCTTCAGATATGAATGTGTGTCCAAACAGTGGCAGCGATTGATATACACGACAGTCACTGACCTTAAGATCTCTAAGGCTATGGTTAATGAGGGGAAGCCTATCGACACTAACAGACATTTACAGGCATTTGAATTACTGCTCAAAAAGTGCGCAAACATTGCGTTCATTGACTTCGACCACGATATCAATGACAGTATGTTATCGTTAATCACTAAACACTGCAATCATTTGAAAGGCATTTATATGTCGGTCGAGAACAACACCACTAATGAGACGATTGACAAGTTTTTCGCGAAGTTTGCCAAACGATTGCATTCCCTCGAGTGGGCGAAGTGGCTAATGAACAACAAAGTCGAGGGTTATATACTTAATAATATCAAGTTTTGTCGAAATCTACGGGAACTGTATCTCGAATATGCAGGCAATCAGTTGTCTCACGTGTTGAGTAGCGATAGAAATGAGGTTTTGTTTCAAACGTTACACACTTTACGCGTGATTTATAATAACTATAGTGGAGATTATCCGGTGGACACGTTTGCCCAGTTTGTGGACACTTATAAGCATAACATGAAATCAATTCACGTGTATATCGACGGCAATACCGACGACAAGCCTATCGCCGCCATAATGACTGGTTTGTCGCAAATGCAGGCATTAATTGATCTCAACATTGAATGCCCGCACTATCACTACACGGATGTAGTGAACAACCACTTAAGGCAAATCGGTATAAATTGTCCCCAAATCCGGAGACTTGCCCTCAAAATACGTCTCGATAGCGATCCGTACGACGAGTTGATTGCAGTACTGAACGATCACTTCAAACGAGTAAAACGACTCAAAATCGACGGCAGTTTCGTTGATAGGCTTCGCAATCCACCCGCGAATCCATGCAAACGTATCACACATTTAAAGCTGAGTCCATTGTATTACGACTGGATTAACGACAACGAGAGCGACCACTTCATCGACAACACGGACACAGTATTCCCGAGTATTGTCTCATTGAATGTCAGTTGTCTTATCATAACGGATGGTGTGTTGCGGTCATTGGCGAGACTCCCGAAACTGCGATTCATCAAGCTCAAACTATGCGCTTTTAAGTTCACGCAACACACACTCGATGATTTACGCCAATATAATCCGGATATAATTATCGAACTTACCCAGGGCATTTATTAATCTCGATGAATGACATGATATATTCGTAATTTTTATATTCTTGATAAGTTATCAATGATAACATATCTGTCGTAAACTACTTTCTAAACATTGTATTATTCGCACTAAATTAGTATTATATGTTTCGACGACAATTCGTAAATGATTTGAATTGTTGACCCATTTGACAGTACTATTGCATCGAATATATTGTCGCCATTTGTTGAGCTCTTGGGGCCCGAATCGGGTCGAGAGTCCAGTGCTAAGCATAACATAACACTCCCCACCCTTTCGCCCATCAAATCGCTCCCACATTTGGATTATGTTTTATACGATTATAATATCATTACATAATTAACAATGAATTTATTTGTATATATGCTTATTAGATTTTAATAAAAATTAATGTTTAAATAATTTTTAATCTTGTTGAAAACTTTGCGATACTTTTAAGTGTTTATGATTTTGATAGGACTTTTAACTTTTATAATAATGTATGTTTTTTGCTGAGTACGTGTAAAGTTTGGTGCACTCAAGAATATTCTGTACAATTAATCTGTATAATTAAATATATTACTATAAGTCAATGGCGTACAGATATGGTTTCGAGAAACCAACTAGTGATGTATGCATTTACTATTTATTACTGTTTAAGCAGTCTATATAACACTAGTATTTTAAAGTTTATAGAATACATTAAGGATTAAAGTAGCATTTATTCAAAAACTCATGAATATTAGTTTATTAATCATTTATGGCNTCATTTATGGCTATTACTTATTTACTCAAATATTTTTAATGTATGTTTAACTAACACTTACTAGTATATTAATCATTTGAATATTATTTTGTGTTTAATATATGTTTAAGTCATATTACTATTTAAAATGAAATTCATATAGTCAATAAAATTATCAAATTCAAAATATTGACATCTATGACCTGTCAAACTGGTCTTATCAGTAGTGATTCTCACTGACCATTGGCTATTAACCTCTGATAAGACCAGTTTGACAGGTCATAGATGTCAATATTATGAATTTGATCCTTTTATTAACTCTAGTCACTTGTAAATCATAAAATACTAGTGTTTTGAATAGTTAATAAGTTTGCTAATATTATAAAACACTATTTTGACGATTTAAAAAATTTTGGTCGTCTGCTATAAGTTATAGTACCTATAATTATTCATTCAAAATTACATGTTTTATATTAAAGGCAAAAAATAAAGGTAACGATAAAATTCATTGGTGCTATTTTTACTTTAGTATTGAGCTTATAATGAATATGCTGTTTATGATGTACAGTATAATATGTTTAATTAATAGGTTACACATGTTTTGATATTATGTTTTTTAAACAAATTAGTATGTTTGCATGCCACAAGGTAATATTCAATATAAATCATAACTATTTAAATATTTGACACAATTTAACATTAACCTCTGCATGTCTACATGAACACAATATAATTCTTGGTATTTATTTTTCATCAATTAGTTAGTACCGTATTATTCATTTGTTATATTGTAGACATATTAGCTATAAAATAAAGTTATTTATACTTATGATATGTAGTCATATTCTTACATAAATCAAACTTTTAAGTGCGAGTGAATATATCGATTGCCATATAAATAGCCACTTGCACAAATGACATTAATAAATATAATGTGAATAAAACACATGTTGACATCAAAAGTCTATGTTTGTGATGTTTAATAAATATTTGCGTAGAGTATGTGATTCTCTCATGGTAACATTACTATTTTGAATTCAACTGTATTTTGATCAAATTTGTTTCCCAGATTTTATTTTTGGTATTTATTTGATTAAATTGTGTCTGATAATAAGCGCGCCTAACTAAAATAATTTTAAAATCTAGTTTGAATGAGCAAGGTGGGCGCGACCTCTAACCCCGTCGTAGTTCTCAATATTGCCTGATATATAGTGCTTATGGCATATACTGTATCTTAATGTCATAATAATATCTACTTAATTAAGTTATCTAATTAATCCATTATTTAGTTCACTAACATATAAACATTGTATTATTATAATTCTTAAACTATTAGGATATGATAAAAGTTTGCAACTTTTTGTAATTTTGGTCATTTCAATGAAATCCATATGTTAAATGGTTCCTTGTCATTTCATTTGCTGTATGCAATTAAATGGTATTAGTTTTACTTGAGCGACCTAATATTAATATTAAATGAGTATTTCTAAAAATGCATATAAACATTTACAAAGAATTACTGTTTAACGATAATTGTTATAATTGTAATTAGTACTTTTATTTTTTGAATCTCATTTTAATTACAGTATTAAGGCAACAGAATATTCTTTGCAATTACATTGTTTTTAATTCATATATATTCCCAATATCTTAAAGAATATAAAAACTATTCTGTTTGTTGTAACCGTAAGACTTGTTTATCAGTGTTGTCATAAACGATAAAAATGAGTGCAAAATCACAATCAGTACAAATCAATGTAAACAAGTTGTTGCCGACATCCCTGGCCATACCCCGAGCCGGTACACACCTCTACCGAATTGGCCTATAATTTTACACACCATTAAGCGGGTCATGCAAAAGATTCTTGATCAATAGGCCCATGTGCCTATTCGTATTCTTTCTAATGCATACTGTGCACCAATCTACCATGATACTATTACCGGAACAATCGGAACAATTTTATATCATTTTTGGTGATATTAGCTATTATTTCGGTATTAGAGTCGAGACAGACTGCTTACAGTTCATATTCAACATGATTGTTTTAGCATCACTCTGGCTCAATTATTACAATTATATGAAAGGTCAAATACCCCTTGACTTACGCGTATTGCACGTACTGTCCGGTCACATGACTCCCATTAGTATTGGTATACACGACGAAAGGGTTGTCATAAAATTATTGCGAATCAGTCGACCATTGATCAGTGTGACAGAGTTTATAACCAGGTACATATTTTTTCTGTGCTTGCCCATGATATATTTTGTGTTTCCATTTAATCTAAACGGCATGGATAAAATATACTACGGTATCCCATATACCATTATATGGTCCCTAAAGGGCTATTATGTGAACAATGTGGTCGTCTGGCAATTCCTATATTACACTATAATTGCCTACTATTTTGTTTTGAAAATTAAATTGAATAACCTGGCTATTAATGAATATGACACGAACAAGCCTGATAGAATCGTCACTGAATTTTGCCTCAAAATCTTGAACGAGTTTAACACAATATTTATTGAGATAGGTGATTATAATCGAATATATTGGTGCAAATATTTAGCCATTTACTGGGCGGGTAATAGTCTCATGGCCGTTTTATTGCTCTATATATCGCTGTTTACCTCGATCCCATTGCCCACAAAATTAGTGACATTTGCTGTATTTATGGAGTTCTCGACGGCCTTGCTACTTATTATACACTATTCATCGCTATTGTATAATGAGATTAGAAGCTCCTATAAAATCTTTAACTCATACTATTGTCGGTATCGCAGACCTATAGCTATTAAAGTCAAGGTATGAGTGTCCTAGTTAGATTTAATTATTATTTATTTAATTATTGATTAACAGTTGATGACATTCATTGAACGGCTGGGAACTAAACGTATTGGATTTTACTGTTGGAAACTGTTCTTGATAAATAAATTCTTCACACAATGTTCAGTAAATACAATGAATTTATAAATAATAATAAGATTTATGTTAAAAAACACTTCAATTATCATAACATTTGGTTTGTTTTGATGGACACACGTATGGCACGCATGCGCTCACAGCACAACACACGTGACTCTCACGTGCTTTCGTTGCCTTTGTTTTGTGTTTTGTTTCAATTAATTGTAATTCAATTGTGATATAAATTGTGAATATTTTGTGCTTAAATTATATTCAATGTGTGGATCACTAGTGAAGTGATTGACAGCAAAGGTATTACTCATTGAAACATACATTCAATGAATGAATCACTCATTCATTGCTTTTCACACAAAATAGGTTTCATTTGTCCGCTAATTATGTCTCAAAACACGCGAAGAGTTGGTCTCACGAGTGACACAACTGGAAGACAATCGATGGACAGATTGGGCGATGATTTGTGTCAACTGTTGCTGTCATATCTGAAAACCAAAGACTGCTTCCGATATGAATGTGTGTCCAAACAGTGGCAGCGATTGATATACACGACAGTCACTGACCTTAAGATCTCTGAGGCTATGGTTAATGAGGGGAAGCCTATGGACACTAACAGACATTTACAGGCATTTGAATTACTGCTGAAAAAGTGCTCAAACATTGCGTTCATTGACTGCGACCACGATATCAATGACAATATGTTATCGTTAATCACTAAACACTGCAATCATTTGAATGGCATTTATATGTCGGTCGAGAACAACACCACTAATGAGACGATTGACAAGTTTTTCGCGAAGTTTGCCAAACGATTGCATTCCCTCGAGTGGGCGAAGTGGCTAATGAACACCAAAGTCGAGGGTTATATACTTAATAATATGAAGTGTTGTCCAAATCTACGGGAACTGTATCTCGAATATGCAGGCAATCAGTTGTCTCACGTGTTGAGTGGCGATAGAAATGAGGTTTTGTTTCAAAGGTTACACACTTTACGCGTGTATTATAATAACTATAGTGGAGATTATCCGGTGGACACGTTTGCCCAGTTTGTGGACACTTATAAGCATAACATGAAATCAATTCACGTGTATATCGACGGCAATACCGACGACAAGCCTATCGCCGCCGTAATGACTGGTTTGTCGCAAATGCGGGCATTAATTGATCTCAACATTGAATGCCCGCACTATCACTACACGGATGTAGTGAACGACCACTTGAGGCAAATCGGTATAAATTGTTCCCAAATCCGGAGACTTGCGCTCAAAATACGTCTCGATAGCGATCCGTACGACGAGTTGATTGCAGTACTGAACGATCACTTCAAACGAGTAAAACGACTTAAAATCGACGGCAGTTTCGTCGATAGGCTTCGCAATCCACCCGCGAATCCATGCAAACGTATCACACATTTAAAGTTGAGTCCATTGTATTACGACTGGATTAACGACAACGAGAGCGACCACTTCATCGACAACACGGACACAGTATTCCCGAGTATTGTCTCATTGAATGTCAGTTGTCTTATCATAACGGATGGTGTGTT